AAGGAAGGAAGGAAGGAAGGAAGGAAGGAAGGAAGGAAGGAAGGAAGGAAGGAAGGAAGGAAGGAAGGAAGGAAGGAAGGAAGGAAGGAAGGAAGATGAGAAAAAGCCAGCAAACACTGGAGAAATATGTGTTATACATTCAGAGAAATGAAAGCTCAGTAAAAAAAGAAATCAATTCCTCATTCTCACCTTTTCAGGGATGATTCTGCCTATGGTGTTCCTGTGCCTCACAGCTGTGCTGCCTCTRTCCACTGGGCAGGTAAGACTCACAATTCATACTCGACTAATTTGGGGGGRCCCTGAGGCACTTGTGGATTGACTGAATATGGCTTTTCCTATTCACACCAAACACATGCAGGAAGGAAGATTCTGATGAGATATTTAGGACCTGGAAAGCATTTATCCTTGAAATCTCCTTCATTTCAAAGCTGTTGACTGGTTCCAGTGGCATGTCCTGATGAAGCACCACATGAGGCCTGTGATGATCCTGTGATTAAACAACAGATTTCTACAAAAGAAAAATATTGATAGGGATGTTTAAAATATGGCAGAGGAGAAACATATCACAAACACATCCACGCACTCAGCTGATTTTTTAGAATCTCAAAACCTCGGGTAAGAAATTACAACATTAGTAACTAAATCTGATTCTGTTGCCTGAATTTGGGAGTCTACAGATGCATGAGGAATTCCAGAACATCTCAGTCCTCCACAGAGGGCTGGAAGATACAATGCAGGAATCAGAGTTATGATTGCTAAACTCTACACTGTGGAACCACCAAAATGCTGCTGCACACTGAAGCACCCCAGAGACACTCAGGAAACAAAGCAGATCCCAGCCCTTCCTCCCACACAAGGATTATCCCTTTGGTTGATATCAGAATTTTAGCATTTTATTTCCTACACGGGACGCAGGACTTAGTTACATTCAAATAAAACAGAAATACAACATTTTGTTTTGATTTAGGAACCTGCAGCTCTCGATGCTCTGTCAAGTAGCAGAGCAGAACAGCAAAAGCTGATTGTTGACAGACATAATGCCCTCAGGAGAGGAGTAAAACCAACTGCCAGCAACATGATGAAGATGGTAAGTTGTGTGCTGTAAATCTATTTTTAATGAGCAGTGGACTCCATGAGAGAAGCAGGACTGTGTGCAGGGTCACATTATTTTGTTTAGCCACAAATTCCTTCTCCAGACCTTYCATAAGGATTGAGCACAGCCAGCACCAAGAGAAACATAAAGCTGGCCAGGTGGAAGAAAAAGTCTGGAAAAATTTGTGGTGTGTGAACAAAATCTGTTTCTTTTGAAAGAAAATTTAAAAGAGAATAAAGATCCATAGCATTATTAATGTCTTTCAGATGCATTCCTCATCAGACTTCACAGTTTCTATYCCCTGGGTGCTCAGTAACTTTACTCCTACCAACCCCTCCCCTCAAAAAATGGGGTGAAAAGGATTTTGCATTTGATGTTTTTCTTATTTTAAATGTAATTTCTAAACGTGGCTCGTTTATGAGGGGTTATTCACAGGTATGTGTCTGAATGACTGATATTTTATTTTTTTCATTAAGGAATGGAGCCCTCCAGCWGCAGAGAATGCCCAAAATTGGGCCAATCAATGCACTTTAGGGCACAGCCCTCCTAATATGAGGAGAACGAGTAAGTGAAGCATGAGAGGAACTGAATAATGTCACACATTATATTTATGTGACCACTTGGGGGTTTTGCTTTTTGGGGGGAAATGAGATGCAACTTATATTCAATTTTGATTTTGTTACTCATGGCACAAAGGGAAATTTCTAGGTAGAGCTCTGCYCAAGAGTGAGAAAAGTTCAATCCCATTCTCATCCCAATCGCATCAGTTTCATATAGGCATATCTCATTTTCTACAGTAAATGAAAAATTAAATCACAGTGATAAAGCATAGTCTCCTAAATTATCCATCAGAAAGAGAATCTAGATCCACTTTGTGGCAGAGACCATCCTGCATGTGCTGGATCAAAATGTCTGGGAAGAAAAGGTAAAGAGTGAAAGAACAAAACTGGCTGCAGGTACCAAGTGTCTTTTCTCAGACCAGATTTAGAGTTTTAAATCCCCTGGCAAATTTCAGCCTAGAATTTTTTTGAGGTTCAGATTAATGCTTCATTCAGTCACTGAATATTGAAGTCACAGCTGTACCATGTGACAGCCAGCATGCTGCTGAATGACTTCTGCCCACACCACATCTAAAGTGTGCATAGTCCTGCCCATACTTTTTCCCTAAATCCCAAATCCCGTTTTTTTGGTTTTTTTTTCCGGGGTGAATCCCAATTGAGGATTTATGCATATACAGTAAGGTTGGACATAAATACAAACAGTAGGTGAAGGCAGTGTAGGCACCTTCCTGTGTACCAGGAGTAAATTTTGAATTWTTGRGATTTTCCCAGGATTAGTGGGCTGYGACTTCASTAATGACTATGTTGGTGATTTCCAAAAAACAAAATTACAGGCATGAACCCATGGTGCCCCTGTGCAGGTGTTCCTACAGCCAGGCAGGAGCTCTGCCAACAGCCAACCCCAGCCAAACAAGCCATGATGCAAACTGGCCAGGTGACAGCTTCAGTATTTACAGGGTGATGTCACTCACCTGGAAAAAAATAACCATTGGATTGACAATTTCTATGGAAACCAACCCACCTTCTGCTGGTTTGTTTTATTGGTTTGTTTTTTGGTTTTTTTTTTTTTTTTTTTCTCATGTGTTTGTTCTTTATTAATTTCTCAGTTCCACTTTCTTTTCAGATGTAACTTGTGGTGAAAATCTCTACATATCCTCTGCCCCAGTCCCATGGACAAACGCTCTTCAGGCTTGGAGCAATGAGGAGAAGAATTTCARATATGGAACTGGAGCAAAAACAAAAGATGCTATGACTGGCCATTACACTCAGGTAGATATATTATATATATACTTGGTTTTTTTTTCAGGCTGAACAAATAAATGTTAGCTGAGCAGGTTTTACTCTCTCATCTTTAAAGGAAATAAGCACAATGGAGACATGAGAGTTATTCTGACAAARCATGGTGAAAACTTTCAAAGTAACAGATTTAGAATGAAAACAATAGGCAAAGTAACAAAATTAAAATGAAAATAATAGGCTAAGTGTCTTTATGGTGTAAAGACTGGGGTATTTCAAGACTTCAGGAAGAAACAACTTATTTTGTTTGTTTGACATATGAAAATTGCCCAGACCATGCAAAAACACTCTTATTAAAGTAGTAGCAAGGAAATATAAAGAGGTTTGTCACAGTCTACAAAGTTCCTTTGACTCCACAGAGCTGGACAATATCTTATCCTAAACTTCTGTGTTATCTGCACAAAACATGGGATATAAAATTTTACATCATGATTGCTACATCAACAGTTTTCATTGAATGGAGACATAAATACAAAATCAAAAGTTTTATACAAATGTGTCTTAAATTATTATTATTATATCCCCAATATTCTTTGGTTGAGGTGAAAGCAGGTGTTCAGTAAAATATGACTATTATTTTACTATAAAAGGTAAATAAAGTGAAAACATTATTTCTATAGTGTATATTGTATTTAAATTATTTCCAGATGTATATTTTTCATACTTCCTGATTTTTATTTTTATGCCTACAGATGATTTGGCACAATTCTAATGAAATTGGATGTGGTTTGGCTTTCTGCAACAATACTAAAAGTTACTTCTATGTCTGCCAGTATTGCCCTGCGTACGTATTGATCCTGATTTTGGTAATTCTTATTCCATTATCAAAATTAGTCAGGAGTTGGTGAAATTTGTAACAGGGCACGTCACCAAGAGCTGAGAAACAGGTCTGAAGAGTGCATTAAGAATTAGAAAAGACAGAAACATACTTATCAAAAGAGTTTTCAAACAAGCAAAATCATAAAATACCTAAAAGCAAAAGCAATTTTCAGATTAAATGGCATTTGCCTAAAAATCCTATTTTTTATAATAGTTAATTGGAAATRTTTTCCCCATTCTACTTGAAATCTCAGTTCAGAAAGGCAGATCAATATGTGCATAATTAATATTAAAAAAATAATGGGAATTTTAAGGTAAAGTGATGATTTCAAATACTGCCTGAAATTAATTTCCACATCACAAGGTAATATCTCCTTGAGGGCTGACCTTGACTGACCATCAGGAGCTCACCCAGCCTCTCTATGAGTTTTCTCCTCAGTAAGAAAGGGGAATTAAACATATGGCAAAAAGCTCATGGGTCAAGGGYRGGRGAGWTCATTCACCAGTTACTGTCACTACTTGTCTTGGGAAAATTAATTTAATATTTTGCCAATYAAATCAGAGTAGCATAGAGCCTCTATCACCATCACACAGCTCCAACCTGGAGCTGGCCAGCAATGCCCCTGMCTGCAACAGAGGCAGCTCTGGTGTCTTCTCACCCCTGCAAACTCCTCCCACTCTCTGCCCACTGCCAAAACATTCCCAAATAAACCCAAAGCAGATGTAAAAATTGGTTGACATGTAACCAAAGACCCAGTGTAAATATAAGTTTCATAAGTAACTGAGTGTGACTGTACATGTCTTTATAAATAAATTTTCCTCTCAGATATGATGCAGTGACTCCATAGCTGATGTTGGTAACGTTGATGTTTCAGGGGAAACCTGATAGGGTCACTGAACAGACCCTACAAGGAAGGAGAGCCCTGTGGGGATTGCCCCAATGCCTGTGAGGATGGATTATGCAGTAAGTTCTGACCATTTCAATTGTGAGCTGGGTAAAGTTGATCCTTTAAAAAAATYCTAAACAACAGTTAATTTATGCAAATTGAATTTTTGGAAAGTTATTTGCTGAAATACTAGGCCAAAAGCACTATTGGAGAATCACATTTCACCATGCTGGGTGCTTTAAGTCAGTGAGAGGATGCTTTCCCTTGCCTAGGAGAGATTAATTCTCATCTTTGAATCTAGAAAATTCCAGGAAAGGAGAGGACTTCTTTATCTTTATTCTCCTTCTTCGTCATTTGAACAACAGTGGCAYATCAAGTGGCAGTAGCAACGCACTTGATAAGAGCAAGTGACAAACCAGAGTTTTTAGAATCCTAATAGGAAATAAAAACATATGGSCTGAGTCTCATAATGGAAAATTTACTTTCAATCTTCTGTTCTGGAATGAACCCAATTCTCATCACAGGCTGTAGCATAAAGAAAATTTAAAACACCTTTATGTGTAAGTGAGAAATCTCCTTGAGAGAGACAAGTGTTTGTATGGGTGGTCAAAGTGTTTGGGTACTGCTGGGGAGTAAATGGCAACAAAGAGGAAAAAAATATAAAGAAAATAATGTTGATGAAAAATCATTCTGAAAGGACACACTGCAGGTTTTCACTTCCCACTCACAATTAGTTTTGTGTTTCAAATCCTTTTCAGCCAACCCTTGAAAGTTTGAAGGCACTTTTTTCCAACACTCTTGGCAAAGTGTCCAGGATGCATCCAGAGCTTTGTCAAGTCCACTGCCCTGCTCCTGCCAATGCAAAACTGAAATAAAATAACAAGCTCAGCTTTTGCCTTCCGGGACTCCATCCCCTTAATGACTTCTTTCACAAAAACTTCAGTGCAGTGACTCACACAAGGAAGAGGATGTGCATATTCTTTTTATATAATGGTCTAGAACGTGGTAATTCAAATTTGTTTTTGGATGCCATATATATATAATATTTAGTTTTCTCTTTTTTTTTTTTTTTTTCCAAAAGTGTTACCTAACAAACTTCCTTTTAAAATTCTGTGATTTCGTGTGTTTACTATGTTCCTGGCATAGATGGATAGAGCTTGGTCATGTAACTTGATTAAACTACTTTTAACTTGATTGAAATTTTAAATTGTTGTACTGTTAATGGGACCAGAGGATAAACAGGATTGTTTGAAATATGTAATTCTTAAAAAAAAAATTAGAAGAGCAGAACAGTTTCCTCTAGAACTATTCTGGTTTAGAATCTGTTGCTGACATATGTTCTACTGTAAAATGCTCAGTTGTGAAAAAACACTGAAAAATACCCCAAAACTAATCCCAATATAGTTCATTTAAATTAACAATCTTGTTTACAATGTGAGATTGCACTTAAATACAGGTAACGAAACCTGACTTGTAATGAAAAAGGACTGTCTGAGAAAAGGGTTTAATCCACAATTAATCAAAAGGGGGAAGGTCCATGCTTTTGGAAATTTTGTTTTTAATAACAAGTAGAGTTGTCTCCCAAAATGTTTTTTTCAATATCTTCCTTTGCTGTATCAGTCATTMAATTACTCATTCTTCACTGACCAATCCATTGTAATTTTGATTCTTTCTTACCTTGAAATAAAATTCACTAAGTTACTTTGTGACTTTATTGGCACTGGGTGTTGAAGGGAGCCTAAATCTTTAGCARCAGAAGCAGACACAGCTCAGGTGAGACTTCCTAGGCAAAAGGCAGAATTCAAGGATCCAACCTCCTATCAGAGAGAAATAATTAGCATAAATAACCTGCAATCCCCACTCTGTGACCTTTGGGAAGGATGAGTCCCTCTGTGCAGTCAGCAGTAGGGCTAAATATTATTTCAATCTCACCTTACAAAGGTTTCACACTCCTGTCCTCGTTTAGTAAGGGAACTGCTGTCAATAATTAAGATTTCAAGTCCCAGAGTCCTTGGCACAGAATGATTTCACCACACATTTGTGACTCATTCATTTCAGTGGCATTTATTCTAGTGTGGAAGATGAGTATTAAGTTAAAAGTTCAGTTTCACAACTCAAAGTGCTCACTGTTTGCGTTGGTAATTTTCCTCGTTCGTCTCCTCTCATTTTCGCCTCTATGACACGCTGCCCTCTCAGCTGGAGACAAGTCTAAAAGCAAATTAAGCAAAGTCAGGGCATAGCTGTGAGTGCTGGAACATGACTTACTAAATTCTGAAATAATTAGCACAGGTCCAAGTAAGAATAATTACATTGAAATAGTTAATGCAGTGCTGTCATCAATAAGTGGACAGTACCATTACCCTCACTCCTGAAAGAGTTCTTTRYCATGAATAATGGCTTAAGAAATCMCAGAAYCACTGAGGTTGGAAGAGACCTCTAAGATCATCGAGTCCAAACATTTACATATCAGTGCCAGGTCCACCACCAAACCATGTCCMTAAGCACCAGAGCTGCACATTYCTTGAGCATTTCYAGAAATGGCAATTCCACCACTTCCCTGGGCAGCCTAATGTGGTATTTGACAATCCCTTCTGTCAAGAAATTCTTTGCCAATATCCAATCTAAAACCTCCCCTGGCACAATTTGTAGCCATTTCCTCTTGTCCTATTGTTTGTAACCTGGGAGAAGAGACCCCAGTGGTTACAACCTCTCTATAGGTTGTTGTAAAGTGTGAGAAGGTCCCCCCTGAGCCTCCTTTTCTCCAGGCTGAGCCCCGCCAGCTCCCTCAGCAGCTCCCATCAGACTTGAGCTCCAAACCCTTCCCCAGCTCTGTTGTTCTCCCCGTACACCCCAGACCCTCAAATGTTTTCTTTGTGATTTTTATTCCCTCCCACTGCTACCCAAACCTCAAGAACTCATTTCTCAGTCACTCAGGAGAGGAAAGGAATAGTGCAGTGAGTTAAAAATGTATCATCATTAGTTATGAAGCCTGTGGAGATTCCTATTGCTGTTGAAGCACTAAGAGCTGTAGGATGGGTGGATGGATTTTACACTTCTACCATATTGTAAGCCTTGATTCACTTATTTTTCAGGGTTTAAAGAAATGTTCTTGAAAACTGAAAAGCAAAAACATGCAGTACACTCTTAATATGTGCCTAGAGCCTGGATGAATTTGATGCTTTAATGTGTGGCAATGATGTTTCAACTGAGAGGATGGAAAGATCTTGAAGAGTCCCTCCTGAAACCATGGATTGCGTCTCACTGAATTTCTCCTGGCAGCATGAGGCAACAGAACTTTCCAAAATTTAAAAAAAAAAAAAAAAAAAAAAAAAAGATTTTGTGCATTCTTAAAGTAACATTTGTTCTCTGGGAAAGGGAATTGAAAGGAGCAAAGGGTTTGTTCTTCTAAATAAAATAAGCAAATTTTAAGTAAATGCCAATGCATGCCAAAAATGTCAAGACCTATAGTAACTTCCTAATTGTTTATGCTGTTTTTTTATTATTTGCTACTTATTATGCTGTATCTGGTTCCAGACTGTCCATAGTCTACATCAGCCAGGTTTGGATTCTCTTCTGCAAAAGTAAAGACATCACAAAAATACAATGAACTTTATAATGACCTTAAAATAAAATTGGGACTGTTCCATTTGAAATATCATTCATTTGAGCAGAAAAGTGCTGCCTTTACTACTCCTGTGGAGATAATTCTTATTGATTTTCTCTGCAACAATTAGCCACGATAAGCTTTTCAGATAGTGTTATACAACAAGGAAATGAACATTCTTCCAACTCTTTTCCAGGYTATTTGCAGATGGATTTCCTGACTTTTTGTCTGTGTCCACCTGCTCTGCTGCATCAGATTGCTGAACAGGTAAAAAAGACAAAATGTAAAGAAAACAAAAATAATCTACAGATGGTTTTATTTGTAGATTATCATTTTACCATTTTGCATCCAGAGAAGAAAGCAGCACATCTATACTCAGGAAATGCATGTTGGGATCATACAGGAGCCAGAGAACTTATGTGCCTCAGCTGACCCAAGAAATGCTCCAGAACGTGGTGTTTTGCACCCTGAGATCCAGCTGTGGATCCCACAATCCTCTGTTTGGCACCCAGGCTGCCCACACAGCGGCTTTCACAAGAGAGAAGCATCTCCAAATTAGATGTTAATTGCAACAAACGAGCRAGAAAGAAATAAATCACTTGATTTAGTTAAGTTTAATAGGAATCAAGATTTTAATCCTCCCACTCCCTCCATGCTGGGGTGTACACAAGGGTTAAAGATTTCCCTTGGCATGGCTATCAGAGGCAGWTAGGACCACACATTTGGATTTAAGCAGCTGCATTTCTCCCTGAGCTGTCTGTAAGGATCCTTTAATCTCAGTCTCAGCCTGTCCACAAACCAGCACTTGCTGTAATATGTTAATAAAAACCCTCTAATTTCTTAGCTCAAAGTATCAGGGCCTGCCCATTTTTTCCTCTGCCTATAACACGTTTGGCCACAGTTTGCTGGGATTATCAATAAGTAGCAGTGCTGTACCAAAAAATTGCTGTTACTTTCCCCAAAATTTTGCTGTTAATGCTGTTCTGGCCTCATCATGGAAGTGAAGTTACCCAAGGTGGGCCACACAGGTTGGAAGAGGAAAATCATCCCCAGTGCCCTCCCTACATTTCCTCCTTAYTGAACTGATTTCACTTCCTAATCTGGCAGAAAGCCTTCCAGAGCCTGGCTGGTCCTGAGACAGCCAGCCACAGATAGGAATAATTGAGGATAATTCAGGATAGGAAGAAATGTTGTGAAGTTCTACCAGGGTAGAATTAGATTTGATATTGGAAAAAAAATATTTTCACTGAAAGGTTGGTCAGGCATTGGAACAAACTGCCCGGGGAAATTGTGGAATCGCCAAAGAAATRGGAAGATGTGATCCTTAGGGCCATGGTTTGGGGGTGAACAGGGGGATCCCAGACTCAGACATAGCGTTGAGATGAGGGATAAAACCATCATTTGGTCACACCATAACTAGCAGTATTAACAAGTACAAACAAGATGCTGCTTTTCCCTAATTCACCCCTTCTCCCTACTCAACAAATCCACATCTGGCTGTGCTAAGAAGTAACCAAGGCAGTTTTAGCTCTCTTCAACAAAAGTGTCCAGGTGCCTGGTGAACTCCTGCTGATATAAACCAGGACATTAACCCAGCAGAAAAAAATCCCTCTGGTTTCTCTTAGAGGGGGTAACTCCTCTCCTCTAATCACAACAACAAAACTAAAAACCGAAAGTAACTGTATGTGCTTGACTTACCTGTACCCTGTTCCTGCTGGAATTAAACATAATATTCACATAAACTCACAGCGTTTCCTGAGGTGTGGGGAGCAGCTAAACAAGGCTGTGTTTCTGGTTTGAACGTGCCTTAAGAAAKAGAAAACAGGTCAGAAAAAGCACTCGTTAAGATGAAAATCCTCTACAGAGCGACTGCTAAGATTTTAGCGCCGGGGGAATACATTGCAGAGGCTGTCATGTATTTATCTCTCAGCTTATCAGAGGAGGGGTGTCAAAGGAAATGATCAGTGCAAGATAAGCTAGTTGGAGCCTGACAAGACCATGTTTTCTGGGCTGCCCGAACAGCGACACRGGGACGTGTTAACCAGCATCGTTAGCAAAATCAGGGAGGGGGAATTGCACATCTGATGGCACTTGTGAGGAGCAGCCACCACCTAATGAGTGCCACGGGTCCGCGGTTTGCGCCCGCACCGCCGGCTGCGGCTGCGAAACGAGGAGGAGATAAAAGATAAGGAMAGATAAAGTGGGGTGTCATTAATCAGCTTCCGCAGACGGAGCGATCAGCGGAGAGCATTTAATGATGCATCGCCCCGAGCAGCTCGGTGCCTGAGCCTGATCTCAGCCTTTGCACAAAGCATCTCCCCCATTCCCCGCTGCCTTTGTTCCCTTCCTGAACCGCAGCTCCGGACCTGCTCGGCTGGTCCTGCCAGGAGGTGATGCACAGTGCATAGGTTGCCTTTCTGTAGTTAYATTTATATTATAGTTATATAAAGATAGTTATTTCTTAAGGAAATAACTGCAAATATCAAGGCCATTTAGGCAAAATGGTAATTATCAGCCAGTCCACCCATTACCAGCTGAAAAAAGATTGTGCAGGTTGAGCAATGAAGATGCTGGTTAGTCAAGGAGGAGCACACAGCTGCTGAGTTCGACCAAAGTCGATGAGTTTGCCTATGAAAACCTCAGGAACATCAGTATGAATTCATGTGCTCAGTTCATGTTCATGTGCTCAGTTCTGGGGAAGCAGCAGGCATGTTTCAAAGACAGCAATTGTGCAATATGCCTGAATATTCCAGGTGTATGGAATGCATGTGGTGTGCGCAGTGCTGACCCTCCTCCTGACTGGGAAACACATCAACAACTGCAGTGCACTCTAAAAACAGCCCTGAGAGCCAGGGCAGCAATGGGACACGTGTGTACACRYGTGTGCAYGTGTGTGTGAGGTAGCTGTGAGCAGCTAAGCAGCTGAAGATGTGGAGGGCTGTGGTTTTGCACTGCTTCTCACAGAGGAAATACAGCACATTTCAATCATTCTCACAGAACCTTTGGAGACACCAAAAACAGACTCCAAAGGTGATGAGAAGATGAGAAGGTGAATCACATGTCCATTGCAATGTAACACATTCCCTGTTGGTCCATCACTGATGGCATTCTACACTCAGAAGAGCGAACATTTTCTCCACGGCATGACCTGCATCTMTTCTTAACTTCAGCCCCTTTTTTATAGATCTTCCTCTGAAACATCTGTAAAAACATCTTCCTCTTTCCATCCATCCTTTTTTTCATATCTGTCTGTGCTGACAGGTTACACAGA